GACCGACTATCCCCACTCCATCCCCACCGCCGCGGCACCGTCCGTGCTAACGTTCACGGCTGGGAACACTGCTCGCTGCCGCGCTCGCCGCCCGCGCCGCGCTCCCCGCCGCGCCTAGGTTTTTTCCCACCACGGTGTATCTCGCGCGTCGCTCCACCTCCCGCTCATCGATCGATTTTCTTAAATGCCTTCCGAGTCTGGTCTACCGTCTCCTGCATCCTTATTCGCTCAAACGTGTAAATTAATTACTCGTTAACTATTGTTACTTTTGTACCGCGGCACATGACATTTCTCCTTAGTTTAACCCAATCTACCACTATTTACAAGTTGGCTACTATTGCATCAGACACCCTGTATACAGGGTGCTCCGCAACATATTGAAGACCGGTCATGGGAAGGTAGAGGGGACTAAGACAAACATAAAAGTCCTGTACTATTTTGCGCTTGGACGAATAGTTATCGAGATACTGAATTTTAAAAATCGCCGTATTAGTCCAACCCACTGGCAAATGCAAGCGCGCGGTGAGTAGCGACCATCGCTGCGAACTTTGACGCAGCGCGGGGAGACGTGCGAGTGGTCGCGTAAGCGGCGGACGGGCAGCGGCGCGCCTCGCCTCTCTACTCCTCGCCGCGCATCGCCATCCTACTCCTCGCTACACACCGCCACGAGCGGGGCCGCTAAGCGGACGCATCTCACCGCGCGCTTACATTCGCCAGTAGGTTGGGCTAATACGTCGATTTTTAAAATTCAGTATCTCGATAACTATTCGTCCAAGTGCAAAATAGTACAGGACTTTTCTGTTTGTCTTAGTCCCCTCTACCTTCCCATGACCGGTCTTTAATATGTTGCGGAGTACCCTGTATAATTAGTTTAGATATTGCTTAAATTTTTCCGAGAAATTCGGAATATAATTTTAAATTTACAAATTAGAGCAAAGTGTATAAATTACATTAAATCAATTAATATTACATTATCATTATGTCATATTAGTAATACAATATACATATAAGATACCATGTGTATCATATATGATCGTATATGATAATGTGTTTGTCATATATACTGTAATATATGACAAACATGTGCATCATATATGATTGTATATGATAATGTATTTGTCATATACATATACTGTCATATACGACAAACACATTATCATATACGATCATATATGATACATATGGTATCTTATACATATATGGACATTTTTCGTATATGAGCATATATGATTATACATATATGATCATATGTGAAAATTTTTTCCCGGGTTACTTAAAAATAATCCTTTTTACAGCTTTAATAGTAAATTTCTCAAAATTGTGACGTAATAGAGTAATTTGATAAATGATCATCAAGATCAAGAAATTTGTTAGGTAGATTATAACTAAAAAGATATTCATAATTAATATAATAGAATCTATTGTATCAAACTAAACAATATATGAGAACACGCTAATGTGGGTCACAAGGCAAGATGTAGGTAGCCCAACTTGCAAATCTTAAATCTTTCTGAAAATCGTGAATCTATATAGTATACCGTTTCTTTCCACATTAGTTCTACACGCCGATTTCTTTTTCGGACATAATGCAGTTTATCTTACACGTGGAATTATTATCGTCAGCAGATTCGCGTATTCGATTCGATAATTATTTTTCAAATGCAATTCGCATTTTTCTGATGCTACATTTAGCATTCAATACCCCCCCCCCATTTTCTCCATCCTGTAAATTAATTTTATTGCGAAAAATATTACCCCAGCCAGGATTCGAACCTGTGACCTCCCTCAATCCGTGACGGGCGTTCCAAGTAGAACATACTAGTCACGAAGACATCAAGATGACATCATTTTTGGATCATTTTTTATGCATCATGGTGACGTCAAAGTAGCCCACCGAGAGCACCTATTTGTGACATCATTAAGACATTAAAATGTTGTAAAAATTATCTTGTTTTGCAAAGCAAAGCTAATTGAATATTGTACATTAAAAATAAATTGAAGTAATATAAGATAAACATAACATATGACTGTTCATGTAATCTGTAATATAAAATATATTATTATACACATCACGAATATCATAAAGCAGTATGTCATAAATCAGTCATTGCAAAGTAAATCTTGATGTCGATCACTTTATGACGTGAAATTCATCATTTTAATGTCACATTGACGTTCTTGTGACTAACTTGTTCTACTCGGGGTCTTAGCCAGCTCGAGCCCCATCCATCTTACAATATTGGACCAATACGTGGAATACTAAAGTTACATTATTTCTCAATATTGCACCAATACATTGTGCTACTCGGGACTTTTCTACAATAATTACGTTATCGTATAATATTCAATTTCTGAAAATTATGGAAAACGATTACCCACATTCTTGTGCTAAAAACAGTCATTTTTTGTTAAGCAATGTAGTAACGTTTTCTCATGCAATAATGAGTGCGTTCCGGCAAGACACTGTTACCGTAGCGCTACAGCTTTTTTGCTACAATTGTAGCGGCGTCATACTTACATTAGTGTGCATAACCTCAAAATTGCATTTTAATTGTAAGAGTTGCGTTTACCAATTAATTGAAACGAATAGAATGGAAAATATTGAAGATTGGCTCATGAATGACATATTGTTCCTAGCAATCCTTGAGCAATTATGAAAAATGGCAACCGCTACGGTTGTAGCGGAAAGTTTTGCCGAAACGTACACGTGTAGCGCTACCGTAGCGCTATAGTAGCAGTGTCTTACCGGAATGCACTCATGTTTAACGCAAGTTTCGAGCTTTTAGTGATCGGTTTCGTATATGGCATCATCCGAACGTCTACACTATTTGCGAAAGAAACACATTGAACGATTCCCGAGAAAAGTATCCGCCAAAAACAAATTTAGTTTACATGAAATACAGATTACGGCCATCAATTCCAAACCAGTTTATGATGTTTCGCACAGAACGCCCTTTCACACACCGCTGTCACGTTTCTCACCACATTTGTCGACGATTTCGGAATCTCCGCTCAGTCATCTGCATCGTTTCTCGCCGATCTCACTGAGATCGGCGAGAAGAGTGATCGACACGGCGGACATCGATGTCTCTTCGCCAAGGATACTCTCGCATGACAGACATCTCCCTAGAAATCGGCTGCGCCGCGATCGGCCGACCATTAAGATTAGATCGCAGGCTTTGAAAGACAATCCGACATTACGCGACCACATTGAGAGACACGAGAAGTCGGTGGGCGAGCTTCTAATGGAGAAGTTCTTTATTAAGGACAAGAGGTCGGACGGTGACGGAGGCCAACAGGGAATACGTTTGTATCATCAGATCAATTTAGATCGTTTGGAGGATCCTCAGGAGCGAGATGCTACGCAGAATCGAATCACCCGCAGATTCACGCGGCGCAGGTCTTCCGCTGACTTGCAGATGGATCCCGAGCAGATACAACGGGAGGCTGCGTACGCGCAAGTACAGGCGAAGGTCTTAGACAGTCTCGTGGCTGAGGAGCAGGCGCAGATCGAAGACGAGGCGCGTCGAGGTACTTTGATACTCAGGAAGGGCACGACAGCGAGAGGGCCGATCATCGAGCGTTCCTATTACGTGAACAACGATTCCGACACGATGACACAGGAGGAGGAGGAAGCGGCTGCGGCAAAGATCAGGAAAGCCATGAAGAAGACGAAAAAGAAAAAAAGACCGTCTGTCGATAAATCACCGTCGACCGAGAAGATTGATAACAGGCGGTCAAGCACTTCTAGTGAACTTTCCACCGACTCGCAGATTAAGGAAAATGATGAGTCACGACCGCAGATGTACAAGATCGAGGCCTGTAACAGTGCCGGGGATTTCTCCACGATCTGGGTAAACACGAATTCTGAGAATGATAGGCGCAAATCGGCGGTCGAGCAGTTCAAAGAAAACGTGAAGCTGTCCGTTCCCAGGAGACTTGGAAATGGGACGGATGCTTCCTCAAACGATACGGACGAAGCGGAGACGCAAGTCGTGTTAGCGGTACGTAAACCTTACGTTAAGGATTCGTCTAGAAATAGCGTGTATCTGACAATGAGAAAACCTACGGAGAAACTTAGCGAGAAGCTCGATGAAGTCAACAAACTTAACGTGAAAGTCGATGAGGATCAATTAACGAATGGCTTTGTTGACGTCAAAAATAATAACCTTGGACGCAATATGGTGAAAGGTCCGACAGATGAAAATTCGGCGGAGTCAAATTGCAAGGTTCAAACGGCAGGTGATGTTAATAAAGACATTAAAGCGTTAAGAAAGTCGGTGTGTAAGTCAAAAAAGACGGAATCCTTGGTTAAGAAAAATGTTCATTCCATACCGAACGACGACTTGTGGGATAAACAAGAACCCGTCTCAGCAACGAAGAGCGATACGCGAGAAACTGTTAGCGGAGACCCATTCTTGAAGAAAACCGAGACGGCTGAAGATCTCGTACATTTGAACGTTTCAACTGTTGTTTCGAACATATCGAAAAACGACTCACAAACGGAATGTCTTCCAGGAGTATCCGAAGACATTTTCACCACGGACATGAAGAATAACGACAGTCAAGAGGCCCACAAAGTGCTTGATGCTACAGAGAAGATACTTGAACATCTAGAAGCCGATTTGACTATCGAAACACCGGAAGATCTTGCCGTAAAAAATTCTGTCATTTCCGTCGGAAGGGATAAACTCGTGGCGGAAGAGGACAGGCCAGAGATCTTGGCGTTGCCGCACGACGAGGGTACGATGAGGCGAAGCGTAGTCGAGACCGAAGCTAGCGACAATGTTGGTAAAACCAGAGCCAGCGGTGCGACGCTTACGACAAATAGCGCGACCTGTCGTCTGCCAAAACTGTCTAAAATTAATACGGATAGAAATAATGCCGTAGAAGCGCCAAAGCTTTCGTTACGAGGGACCGCAGAGTATCTGGCGGACTCGCCGAAAAGTGACCAGGACGTCGTCGGGGCCGCGTTGCCGGAAAAGAAGGTGAACAAAACGTCGAACTTGGCGCAAGTTTCCTCTTTTAGTACCTCGGAGAGAACCAGCGGCGTAGACGCGGATAAACCGGTTTTTAGAATCAACGCGATTCAACACGATGACGCAGTCAAGTTGGAAGCGCAAGAGATGACCTTGCACAAGGAAACAAACGACAAAGTGCGTAGCAATGAATATTTTAAGGAGGCGAAATTAGCGACGGATGTTAAGCCAACAAAAGATATCGGTCTGACGAAAACATTGAAAGGTAACGCGGAAAAGACTGACGGAAATGTGCTATTCTTAAAAACGAATGATTCATCGAAGATCGGAGCGAAGGTAAACGTCGCCGAGGCAACAGTTGATGCGTCAAAAGAGGCAGAACTATTGAAGACTGATACGATTAAAAAGATTAATCGTATCGATGTAGGAAAGGATATCTCGAGAGATTTGTTCAGTCCTAAGAGCAATGTGCCGAAGCTTAACAGCACAGATTTGAAATTTCGCTTCAAATCGGAGACGCTTTTGAAAAACGATGCAAACGAGAGCAACGTTGCGATCTCGTCGAAGATTGAAAAGGATTCGGGCGCATTTAAAACAATGAAAATCGGAAACGGCAAATCATTTTTTCACAACGATACCAACGACGAAGCGAGAGCCTTGAAAAAAAGTATTTCCGTTGACTCTTCGAAATTGACGAACGATTGTTCGTTGAATAAAATTCCCAAAGTTTTCCAACAATCCATGTCTATTGATGAAAAAGTCACGGACAAAGGTGTATCTGTTAAGAAGACATCAGAGCCGACGAAGTCTCTGAACAAAGTAACAGAAAAGAAACTAATGATGCACGACGCAAGCTGCGACCTTCAGGACGAAAATATAGTGTTATCAAGAAGTGCTTCTACCGAGTCCATTGATTTTTGGAGCGAGATCAAAGCACCGAGTAGTCCCGAAGCAGCGAGACCGAAGCAGCTGCATGGATTTTCTTCTCGTGAGGCAACGATTCTTTCTCCAATTTCCAAAGCTGAGGCAAAAATAAACTCGATAAATTCGAAATGGAAAGATAACAAAAAAGAATATGAGATCGACGTTAAAATGAGCATCGTAGGGCACGAAAATTCAGATCCAGTCAGATCCAGTAACGTAGTCCTTGAAGAGGAGAAAGAAAAAATTATTTTAGGATCTTTAAGTGCGAAAGAAGCGGACATTGCGAAACCTGCAAAAGCAATGGAAATCAAGGAAAGCGTAGCGAAGACACCGCCGAAAAAGAAGAGAAACATCTCTGTAGCAATTGACAATAAGGACACAACCTCGACCATAAAACAAGCTTCGTTGGAGCGCAACGATTCCGCTACTTCAGCAACTTCCGTGACTACTCCAGTCGAGGTTGCCATACCGGTGATAAAAATAATCGAAGCACCCAAGTTGCTCGAAGAGCCTGATAATCGGAAGGTCGATGAGGAACACGAGGATCCCAGCACTCCGACAAACGAACTGTCGCCCGATATCTCTTTGGTTAGGAAGATCTCGAGGTGGAGCAATCAGGACGATTTGACGAACACCGACGACGTGGCAACTCCGCTCGCGTCAGAGGAGACCAGTCTGGCCGCCAGTCCTAGTATCAGTCCACCGTCCTCCAAGACAAAGCGTGTGATCAAAAAGAAGAAAGCATCGACCAAGAAAACACCGTCGGAAAAGAAGGAGAGGGGACCAAAGGAGAGTCGTGGCAATGAATTAACAACGACGACGAGTCAACAGAATACGCTTACAGCCCAACTCGTTCCTGAGAAGCAACATCCAGCAAAGCTTTCTCAAAAAACGTCTCCCAAGACTAGCCCAAAGAATACACCCTTGCAACGCCCACTCGATCTCATAAAGATTTTCTACACAACGCCATCCGCATTGCTCACGGCTACGCCGCGGGATCTCTCCAAGGTCAGAAGGGCGAAGATTAAGAGAAGACGGCATCATTCGCGCACACCGTCTATCAGTAGCGACAGCACCGGAAGTACGACGAGCACCGCTACGACAGGGAGTACGGACGAGAACGGCTCGACCCGCGTCGAGCTGGACGAGGATTCTGAACATAAGAGAATGAATTCAACGAGGAGCAACGATTCCGGATTCGATGGTTCACCGAGAATCTCGAGTACTTATTTTACGATTGCTTGCGCGTCAAAGTTTTGTCCAACACATTCAGACTGCTTCCAAATAAGGCTTCCAAATAAGATTTTTTAAGGAGAGTCGGATACTTTGACGATGTGACATAAGGATGCTTTTCGAGACTAATCAAAATACCAGAAATAATATTGAAAACTGAATCACGATTAAACACATTGATAATCATTCTTAAGTACTGAAAAAAGATAAAGCGGGAGTGAGACACAAACAAAAACTTGTTTATTCATTAATTATCATTAATTCAACATTATGCATAATTAACAAAAGTTTAAGTCCGGTTAATTTTAATGTTAAATTTAAAATTTAATTTTAATTATATATACATATGTATATGTGTTATACATATATGTATACAGGGCGTTCGCAAATTTACCCGTAGTACTTCGGGAAGTGATTCGGGACCCAAAAAGAAGGAAAAAAGCTACATAAACATAGGTCCGGAAATTATTTCCGAGTTACAGACTTTAAGGTTTAAAAAAGATCGTCATTTATAGTTCACTTGGCATATAGTTCACTTGGCATATATCACTTGGATACTTAATTGATTTACTTCACCATTTTTGAAGATTTAATTACGCGATCTTAAACAAATATGTAATATACATATTATAGTACTTTAAAATTTATAATTTAGAAGTAATTACCTATTTCTCAACATATGTATATAAATAAGTACTTTTTATTTACAATATTTTTAGTGTTCTTTAAATAAATTCGCCACTCGCACGAATAAATTTTTCGAAGCTTTGAATCTTCGAAGTTATCAAAAGTAACAGCCCTGGTACATACCATTTCATTATTTTTAAAAATAAATATAAACAGGTATTTAAATCGAATAAGATGTTCAAAATAATCACCTTCAGCACGAATGCAGACCCTTATTCTTCTATCAAAGAAATTTCGAATTCTTTGAAAAACATTCGAATCTCTCCTTATTTTTTCGAATCCATGAATTATTCTTTGTCTTAAATCAGCAATATTATTGGGCACGTTTCTGTAAACCATTGACTTTACATGACCCCATAGATAACTCGGAATTCCTTTGGTAGAAAAATAAGGGCCTGCATTCGTGCTGAAAGTGGTCATTTTGAACATCTTATTTAATGTTTGCAGACATCGACAAATTGAAAAAAATTAAAAATAAAAATTGAAAAAAAATTAAAAATTGAAAATAAGACAAATAAAAACCAAAATTTATATAAAAAATTTTTTTAAGAGATATGCCATACAGGAGCGGGCTATAAATTACGATTTTTATAACATAATAGTGGCTACAACTCGGAAAACGACTTATTTCCGGACCTATGTTTATATAGTTTTTTCTTCCTTTTGAGTCTCGAATCACTTTCCGAATTTCCGAAGTACTGCGGGCAAGTTTCCGGATACTCTGTATATACATTGTATACATTTCTACAAAAAAGTTTCAAATTTTTTAATATGTATATCTAATAATGATTTTAATTAGGGAATTGAGTAAAACTTACTGTTGCCAGTGATAATTAAACAAAAAGAAATTTTTTTTAATCGACCAGATTGGCCAAAAAATGATCTTTATTTAAGTCACAACGTTTCGACCTCTTTATTCGACTAGTTTTATTCGAGATCCGTTAACGTACAGTTGCTGCGTGGAAATTTTAGAAATTGGCATCGCTATTAAAAATCCACTGACTACCGAGACACATATGATATTATGAATTTGCTGCCACAGACTCATGAATTCATTCTGTTTCGGCATAAATTAATTTTTTTCAGTCAACTTTAGATTGTGCTTGGAAATAACCCGATAAAGAGCTCGAAACGTTGTGACTTAAATAAAGATCACTTTTTGTCAGTCTGGTCGATTAAAAAAAATGTTTCCTTTGTTTAATTAGGGAACTATGCGTAATTTGGATATATTAAAAACACTGTAGAATTTTTTGCATTCTTTTTATTGTAGAATCACAATTGAAAGCAATCATTAAATCACATCGCCAAAGTAGTGCAAAAAATCATTTATTATGCCATTTTTCATTTATAATTAGCGTTAAAAATATTCTATTATCTGCTTTAGAAAAGTATTGGAAAATGCTATAATACTAATTCATACTAATGTAATATTATTAATTTGTTGATTTACTCTAAGTTTGAATGTTCCAAGTATTTGTTAACAATTGCCACGTTTCCTGGCAATAATTCCTGCATGTAGGCGTGTGTGTTACGGAATTAGACAGAACCTAGCTGAATTATAGTACTTACAGTGTCGTCTTAGATATATTTGCACAAGTGTCCCCGCATGGATAGCATTTTAATTCCTGTTAGTTAACATTAACGCTTGACCGTATTTCAACGACCACATGTTCGGAATTACTTTCACGTATGTATGTTGATTTTGAAATCGATGAACGATACATATGAATAAAAAAACAAAACATATTTTATAAGCGAGGAATTTCATCGAAGATATCTGTCGAAAATTTCATACCAAACTTATGCAATACATTGTATTGTGTTATTTGCAATTCAATCTATTGCGCTGTAAGAGTTTTATGAATCCAAAAAGCAGAGATTTTAGTTCAACACGCCAGAACGTCTTCAAGCGCATAAAACTCGTTTACGTCATTCTCTCGCGGCGAATCTTGTTTTAGCAGTGTCATGTGTTAACGGGCAATGGTGGAAGTGATGGGCGCGATAGTCAGTGCGACGCCCGCGCACACTATTAACGCTATTAAAATGACGTAAGGTCATTGCCATAATGTCAACGACACTTACGTTGTCGTGTAGGAGAGTGCTACAATATATGGGATATTTTTAAGATGTTTGGTGGTGTATTTGAGATATTGTACCGATAAAAAATATTATACAAAGATCAATCACAGGAGCATACTTTCTATGCTGAGAAAAGAGATTAAAAGTTACTTTTACTTGAAAATGGGTGTGGAACGGGGATACTTAAAAATCGCGCTTTGATAGTTTGTGTGCATTTTTTGTACAGCAGAGAGAAACCTGAGAGCGGCCACACCGGCGTTTTACTTGATACCGTTTTAAAAGACTGTTTTGCGCACCTTTACGCCTTTATTTTTACTTTTGGAACTATTTTGTTATGCATCTTCTGACACTGCCGATAAAGTCTCCACTTTGTGCGTGTCAATGATACGCCTATTTTACAGGATTGTGCTGTGAAATTCAAAATTACATTAACATAAATTATTTGCATGATATTTACATCAACTTTTCTCATGTAGGCAATGTAAATTTTATTAGATATCAGAATGTATAGCACAGACATGCACCAAGTGGAAATTTTATCGGCAGAGTCAGAAAATGCGCAATGAATTACTTTTAAAAGTAAAAATGGGCGTAAGCTCTGTGTACAGCCGACAACCCAAATCAGCGCGTAGTTTTAGTAGAAAAATAACCGCGAAGATCATCATTAGTACTGTTTATTGCGATAAATATTACCACACGCCTCAGTGGTCGAATTGGTGAGACGCCCGCCTAGAATGTAGGGAAGTCCAGGTTCAAACCCTGGCTGGGGTAATTTTTTCGCAATAAATTTCTTTAATTAGAATTTGCCAGTTAAGCGTCGTTTACCAATTTTCTACATTTACAAGAAAATCTAATAAATCAGTTATAAAACTAGTTAGACAAATTGAAACGAGAATAGGAAAAACTATATTTTATAAATTTATTAATATTATTGTACATCACCCAACATATTGATTATTGTATTAAAATATAAATATAATATATAATATATTTGTGTTAGATTCTGTGTGAAATTTTATTTCACATTAAATATTTTCGAAAGTATTGCGGCCATTTTGCTTCCACCACTGATCCAGGTACACTATAAAAAAATTACATGTAAAATTACAATTGTTATAGTGGGTAGTATTGGGACCATCTATTAAAGGTGTATATTTACGTATGTCAGTAAATTAATTTCTTGTAGGTAAAATTGTTACCTTATACAGGGTGGTCCTGAAATAATTGGTCAAAATCAGAGATTGGATTGGGCTCGTCAAAAGGATGAAAAAAGTTCCCATAAACGTTAGTCCGAAAACGTATTCTTCAGGAGTTACGACTTATTTAATTATCAATCTCGAAGAATAAATACATTTAAAATTTTGATCGTGCTTACTACGATTTGTGCTTTTTTATTTGCAGTGTTCAATAAGTAGCTTAATCGAGTGGTCCGTTGTAACAATTAAAATCCACTATTATTGTTTGAGCACTTTAAAATTCAAAACACAGCAATCTCGAAATACGCTAGGAATCTTTGAGCGTGTTAGACAGTCAATGGTTAGATGAAAGCACGTGTTTTCGCTAACAGTGGGCATTTTTAACAAAACTTCTGTAAATAGAAATAAACGAGAGTTGGCTTATTGTCACCAGTAATGATTAGAAATGAGACGGGAAACTAATAGACAACCCAACTGGTTAATTATTTAATCGATTTATTACACAACGTTTCGACCCTATTTTGTGGGTCCTTTTCGAGTAATACTGCAAATCAACAATAACAACGTAGTTATGAACAATGTAGGTTAATAAATAAATAAATAAATAGGATTTAGTTAAGTAGTTAAAAGTTCAGTAACGCACCTGAGTCAATTATCGTCGTCGAATAAGACAGAGTCGAGTTATAAAATATATGTATACGTGTGAGCACTGTAGTAGTTGGGCTCGAACTAATTTGTTAATCATGTTTTAAGAACAATACAAGGTGAAGCGAACTAAACAGTCTTGATTACATAGTCATACATTACATTTAGATTTTCAGTGTCTGTTTGTAAATTAATCGTGTTATCGGTCTTTTTAATAAAAAACATTTCGGCGATTTCCCTTTTTCTTCTAAGGCGTTCGCAATGTAATATTTTTGATTCCGACCAATTAAACTCGTGATCATGTGATGCACGGTGTTTGCTGACCACGGAGTGGCAGCTTTCGTCTTTTTTTATGTCATTTTTATGTTCTTTGATTCTGGTCAGAAGGTGTCGTTTGGTTTGCCCAATGTAAGAGGCTTCACAGTCGTTGCAATTAATACGGTAGATGACTTCAGTTTTTTGTCCCAATTTACTTGATCTTTTCCTCTTTTGATAATTTTGTCTAATTTTTTGGGGACAGTGTAGATGGTGTTTAAACCTGTTTTTTTTCAAATTTATGCTAATTTTGTCTGTCAGTCCTTTAATATAGGGAAGGATAATGCTTGTTTTAGGGTCAAAGATTTTTTTATTATTATTAGCGTTCGTGCAGTCAGAAAGTGTGGTATCTCGTCTTTTTAATTCATTCAGTCTGATGTTTACGTGTTTGTTAATTATTTTATTAAAAATAAAAATAAATTTTTTCCTTTTATAGCCTTCCATTTTTTAAAATCAGGTATTAATAATTAATTGAGTTGTAACACCTGTGGGCTGCTTTTTTGGACTAACATTTATGGGAACTTTTTTCATTCTTATGACGAGCCCAATCCAATCCCTGAGTTTGATCAACTATTTCAGGACTACCCTGTATAATAAGTAAACTGTTTGCCTCTAATGGTGTACATTTTATAATTTTTTGTAATTTCTCATCATGTATAAACAAGTATTTACACAACAAAGAGTAAAAAATTTTTTTTTGGTAAAAGTATATAAATTTATATATTTCCGTTATTAATCGCCACACTTATTATGTATGTAATTTTACATGCTTTTTTTTACAGTGAAGTACACAAGCTGACGTTATTTGTCATCATTTCGATGTCGAAATATCACCAAGAACATCAGTTTGATATTAAAATGTCAATAATTCAGTAAACACCAACTAACAGTTACATAATATCAATATTATAATTTTCTGTTCGGCAATATAACTATTATGTATATAATATGTGATATATTAAATTTATATTGCTGAATGGGGGAATTATAATATCAATGTTATGTAACCGTTGGTGTACAATGGGAAATAACGTCAATTGTTAGCTGGGATAGTATCGATGTGATAGATATGACTATTATAATCTAATAGCACGTACTATGGTATAAATAAAATTTTTCATTTACGCTAGTTCAAGATGCATCAAAGAATAAAAATATTGCGATTAATAATTAGCAGATTATAAGTATATGTATACATTCTCGATTAGTGTTTCGATAAATTCCTGTAGATTGTGACATGGCTTGCCACAAGAAATGCGAAAAACTGACAGGAAACCTATGTGGATTGAATCAGAAGCTAGTCGCCGAAGCATTGCAAGCTCTGAAGAGAAGTGAGTAACGGCCTTGAATCTTATCGCGTCGTTAATTATTCAACAATTCGTAACGAACGTGGCTCTGTTAAAGTGATACGTAATATTTTTTTGGATATTTGTTCGTTCTCCGTCCGATCTCGCGATACGGATACGAGTTACGCAGGTAATGTTCGAGCTGTCAGAGCTATTCTTAAAAAAAGGCTTCTTGCCAAATTGTTGCATGATACAGTTGTTACATGATAATTACAAACGAATTAGTATATGATCAAATATAATTCAAGGAAATTTTTTTGATGCTTGCAAAAAAGAAACTTTGGTGTTTTATAAATAGTGTGTCTGATAATTGGTAACATCACTTGCGGGTAAGTAAGTAGATATGTAGATAGATAGAGAGGGAGAGGGAGAGAGGGAAATAGGGGGAGGGATGAGAAAGAAAGAAAGGAAGGGATAGGGGGAGAGAGATTCATTAATTATTAGAAAAGTAGTAAAGGATCTTTCTATTCAGTTTGACCTACGAGCGGTGTTACACCTGTTCATCAGATATCTTGCATATGCATATTATATAACATACATAGTACACAACAGGCGCGAACAGATCGTTCGTGGAATAGAACGCTCATCTACTTTCGGTTCATCTATCATCATTTTATTCCGTATTCTCACATTCGTTGCATCGAGAAATTTAAATCGAATTATTCCTGTCTGTCCAGCAAATTGCATGAATTGAGGAAAAAGAATTTATGCTTGTATTTTAACAAACATATCCTAATGTTACTTACGTGTTTAATTTTGATTTCTGTATCAATTACTCACTAAGAATAGTCGATTCATTGATTATTTTTTACTTAGCACCATCACAGTCGTCGGACAGTCAGAGTCGGAACTCGGATTCTTCGGATCATTTTCCGAGTGGTCGAATAACTCCACCGGCGACAAATCTACCCAGATTCAAGAAATATATGGTGACAGATTTTAATTTTCTCAAAGTGAGTACAAGTAAAAAATCCTATAGATGTTTTTTTCGATAAAACGTTCTCATCATTTCATATTGTTTCAATTAAAGTCTATACATCCCATTCGAATGTAAATGTTTGACTTTATTAATTTATTATACATATGTAATGTCTCTTGTGCATTCGATAATTTTTTTATTTTCCGTGATGCGCATCTATATTCAGTCAATTCCAAAACCCAGCTGACTATTTCTAGGCCATATAATTTATAGTCAGATCTTATATTGAAGACTGTCTGGAATTTATTTAAAAATGCTATATGGAATATTTTTTTGGCCATGGAGTATCTAAAGATGATCTTAAGACGGTTTTGAATATAAGATTTGACTATGGACTACCGGTCCTAGGCCGTTACATAGACTCATACCCCAAGGAAAAATAAAAAGTCAAGATGACGTCAATTTGATGTCATATTAACCAAAATATGACATAAATTTAGTCAATATGACATCAAATTGACATCATCTTGACTTTTCATTTTCCTTGGGACGAATAGACCGCGCACCTCATGAAAGGTTTTGAAGATGAGTGCGTTCCGGCAAGACATTGCTACTGCAGCATTACTATAGCGCTACGGTAGCGCTACACGAGTGCGTTTCGGCAAAACTTTCCGCTACAACTGTAGCAGCACTTCTTCCTCTTCCTTTCATCTGATGAATCTTCGAACAATATATGTATATGTCATTCATGAGCCAATCTTCAATATTTTCCATTCTATTCGTTTCAATTAATCAGGGTTGGATAAGTTCTCTTTTTTAAACTAAGTTAAGTTAAATTTAGGTCTTTTAAAATTTAATTTAGTTAAGATACAAGTTAATCCGTAATACTATTAATTGAATTAAAAGTTAAGTTAATAATAAAAAAATTAAAGAGTTAAAAGTTAAATGTTTCATTTTTACATAAAATCTCAGAGACTTACGATCACGTAAATTGCATTTCGCGACTAGCGCGAATGGACAATCACTCACACTACACGGAATATGGCCCATTTCATATGCAAACAATTTTACGTAAGTTCAAGAATCAAAACCCCATATAATGGCTGTGTTCCAAAATTCATTACCAGCGCTAAAGATCTATCCCAAATAGCACCGTACATCTTATGGACGTCCGTTTTACGTTCATTTTACTACCATACGTCCATGGACATAATAAGATCGTCTATTGTACGTCCATACAAAGATATACATTGGATGTGCATAAACGGACGTCCAGTGGACATCCATTTAAGATTCCCTTTATATAACTAATTTATGGATATATACTCCTGAGTAGAAATGAAATCATGCATGCCTTGTGTATGACGTCAGGGTCCGATAGGGAGGAAGTAAGGAATGCCCTAATAAGGAATCCCTGAAATGTGCCTGATCCGGTACGCCTGATTCCCTCATAGAATTTGATAAACGTTAACCTGAATATACAGGGTGCTAAAAAACTAACAATAAGTGCCATAAATTTGTGTGATGAAAGAATAGACGAGTACAAGCATTTTAAGTACTGGAACCATGGGTCGGTGACGTTTTATTACGGCGTGACGGGCGTTTAATTGAATCGTCACAACTCCTACAATGCAGGTGGATCGGATGGGGTGGACCTGTGACATGGCCTGCAAGGTCACCAGATTTAACGCCTCTCGAATTCTTTTTCTGGGGTGCAATGAAAAATATAATTTATTCCGAAAAAGTCGAATCCGAGGAGGATCTGATCGATCGTAGAGGCATCTGAAATCATTCGACACATGCCTGGAATATTCCAAAGAACGCGGCAGTCATTGCTCCGTTGCTGTGACTTGTCGGAACGTTGGAGGTCGTAACTTTTAACAGTTATTGTAAATACATATATGAAATTGACGAAATAAAATCATTGCGTCGCAGACGTTGTGACGATTTAATGAAACGCCCATCACGCCGTAATAAAACGTCGCCGACCCATGGTTCCTATACTTAAAATGCTTGGACTCGTCTATTCTTTCATCACACAAATTTATGGCACTTAGTTCTTTAGCACCCTGTATAGCACTAGTACCACTCACTGCCGCGGCGTGGCGACCGCGCGTTAGTCTTTCTCGTAAGTAAAAATCATCCCGTATTAGTATAAGAGGTGAGCCGATATGATGCGACAGCGAGTTGTTGGATCATGGATAAACTTCAATAACCTGAATATACTTTTGATGACTATGCAATTTAACACAATTTAAAAATTAGTTTAAAAAATTGAATTTTTACCCTACTAAAATTTCTGCCCGGGAATGTATCCAGTAGAGATTTCAATTTTGTCCATAAAAAGTCCAAAGTTCATCCATTAGATTCATAGTTTATTCATTTACGATCCATAATTCATCCATAATTCATCCATAAATGTTCATTAATGGACAACTTATGGATGTCTATTGGAGTTGCAAATGGATGTACAATGGACGTTCTTTGTACGTCAGCTGCAACTGATATGGACGTTCAATGTATGTACACAATATCCGGCATGGATGTTCATTGTACGTACATAGGACGTACTTGTGTTTATTGGGATGGTACACATTCACGGGGAGATCCCAGTTGCGCACAGAATAAATTGGACACAGGCACAATCGGATACAGTAGGAAACGGGCATGCGATGGTTGCAATCGGACACAATGACAATTGGACACCTTGCATGTCTGACACCGTTATACCGTCCACATGACTCAGACACATGTAACACTTTTCATGTGAAGCGGGATCCACTCCACACCTCAGATATGGTTTGGGTAAGGTTATATCTTAACGAAGTGGAGTCCCCTTCGGGGGGGGGGGGGGTACATGGACTACGTTTCCACCGAGGGTCAGAGTTGGGCTAGAGTCGGATCAGAATCGGATTGGGGTGAGCGCTCTTGCGGTGGAAACACTAAACTCGAACCCTACCTTATAAAATTCTAAGGTTAATAAGGTTCGATGGACCAAATGAGGTTCGAATGGAAACAACAAGAGTCTTGTTAGGTTCCTGTAGTATTGCCTCGGTGGAAACGTAGTCATACTGTTTCCACGCATGTACTTCCACCGTTGTACTGTTCCACATGGGTCTGTGACTTTCCACGTGAAGCAAAATCCACTCCACACCTCAGACATGTATCTGAGTCATATGGACAGTACAACGGTGTCAGACATACAATATGTCCGATTATTATCATTAGGCCTGTTCTTTATTACTGCACTACTGAATTAGTGCAATAAGTTAAAATGAAACAAATAGATTATCTCTCATTCCAACTCATTGCACCAGTGTGCACTAGTTCAGGAGTGCAGCAATAAAAAACAGACCCATTGTGTCCAATTGGCACTGTGTCTGATTGCAACCATCGTGTGTCCGTTTCCTACTGTGTCCGATCGTGCCTGTGTCTATTTCTTACTGTATCCGATTGTCACTGTGTCCGATTGCAACCGTCGTGTGCCCGTTTCCTACTGTGTCCGATCA